GATGGATAGGGAGATGTTCCATAGAATCAAAGAATGAGGGAGGAAATATTCTCTCCATCTTGCACAAAATGATTGGAATGTTTTCTTCCATCTTTGCTAGGTCATCCTTGTTCAATGTAGTAGAACACAAAACTCTAAAGAAATGACTTATCTTTGTAATGGGATTGAGAACATGAGACGGTAAAGAACTAAACGCTATAGGAAGTAAGCACTCCATAAACACATGGCAGTCATGACTTTTCATCTCAATGAGCTTTCCCCTATTCACATCAATACACCTTGACAAGTTAGAAGAATATCCATCAGGCATCCTAAGAGCTTTTACCCAATGACAGACTTGTTTTGCTTTTGGTCTATTGAAAGTGTATAATTTGCTTTTCGTCTACAGTACAACATTCATCATAGTATTAAAGATGTTGTCAAAGAAGTTTTTTTCAATGTGCATGAAGTCAAGATTATGCCTTAACAAATTATCCTTCCAATAGGATAGATCCCAATAGATGCTTTTTTTTCGTCCAATTATGCCACTCACCATATCCATCAATTCTTGGTGCACCATTTTTAGTTATTTTAGGATAACCATTGATTCTATTCCAAACTTCTGATCCTGTAAGATATGGTGGTGAAACATCCATCTCCACTTCCCCCTTCTTGAAAGCATTCCTATTCCTCCTAAAAGCATGGTCATTCGGTAAAAAACTCCGATGAGAGTCAAACCATGAATTTTTTGCCCCATGATATAATCTAAAAGCCTTTGTATGCTCCATGCAATGTGGGCATGCCAGTTTACCATGAGTGCTCCAACTGGACAACATACCACAAGCAGGAAAATCATTAATTGTCCACATTAGCATGGCCCTCAAAATAAAGTTTTGTTTCCTTGAAATATCATATGTTATCACATTTGTCCACAACTTCTTCAATTCGTCTATCAAGGGCTCTAAGTACACATCTATGGCAACCTTTGGATTGAATGGCCCGGGAATGACACATGTCAAGAACATGTAAGGTTTAGACATGCACATTTCTGGAGGAAGATTATAAGGGGTGACAATAACTGGCCAACATGAATATGGTATATTTGATGCTTGTACATTTGGGTTAAAACTGCCAGAGCATAAACCGAGTCGTACATTGCGTGGCTCGATACCAAAGTCAGGATATACTCTATCAAAGTGCTTCCAAGCCTCTCCATCGCATGGATGACACAAAACACCATTCGTCGACATGTTCTGATAGTGCCATGTCATTTGTTCTGCAGTTTGTGTTGAGGCATACATTCTTTGTAGTATGGGAATTAATGGCAAATAGAACATTGATTTCATAGGAACTTGTTTTGTAGTAGTTGCTCCAGTGTTACGTGGTTGATATCTTGGCATTCCACAAAATTTGCATTCAAGCAACGCGCCATCATTCTTACCATATTCATTATCATAGAAGAGCATGCAACCATACACGCAACAATCAATCCTCTGCGATTGTAATCCCAACTTTGATACACACTTTTTTGCATCGTAGTATGTTTTAGGCAAACCTGATTTGATGGGTGTTGCATCCATAACCATTTTTGCAATAAAATCTATGCATTGGTTAGGAATATTCCAATTTGACTTGCAAGCTAATAGTCTGACACACATTGATAATTTCAAATCTGATGCTCCTACATACAACGGATGGTTTGCATCCAACAAAGAATTAAAAAAACTTTGTGTTTCTTCATTCGGAGCCTCTTCAATGTTATTAGAAGTAGATGCTTGCCATGACTCATTTTGCCTAAGAGCATCATGCACCATGTCTTCCATTGTTTGAAATTGGTTAATTTGACCACGTTTCGTCTCTACAGCCATCCAACTTTCATGATTCTGTACATCATCTTCTAGCATACTTTACCCATGATCCTCCCAAATGAAATAATTAGGCTTGAAACAGTTCTTATAAAGGTGAACCTTCACAACTCTTTCGTGCAGAATCTTTGTACAATCGCACTTAAAACATGGACATCGAAGACCCCCATCTCTACGATAACGTTCTTATTCACAAGCTTTAGTTATAAACTCTTCAACACCTAATACAAAAGACTCTTTCAAAGCACCTCTTCCTCTATGACACCTATCGTACATCCATGCACGATTTGGTGGAGCACGATCCATGTTCTATACATAAATCGATTACTATACAATTAGCCAATGCTTAAAATAAATCTCTATATTATGACACGTACCATATCAAATGGCTTCCTAAAGAATAACCTAAATTAATTTAGGTCCTCTTCTCTCTATCTTACAATGTTTTTCAACATGTCTCTATCTTACTACTTGTTTTGTACATGTAAACCACTATGTACAATATTATTGTTTTATATTAATCATTATGTACAATATTGTTCACATATATTTACCAGTAGCATCCAAATAACACTAATTATTCACATATATTTACCAGTAGCATCCAAATATTGTAAACCACTAATTATTCACATATATTTACCTGTAGCATCCAAATAACACAACTGATAACCAATTACTATTACACTATAAACCTGTTATATGCATTAGCTTTCAAAGATTTCCATATAATATCACTGTATGCGTTAAAACCTTCGACAATACAAAACACACTCTATGCTACAAGATCACGTTAAATCCTCTAAAAGCAACTTTTACTGTAGGAGTATATAACATCCTTATAAAACACTAACCTAGGATGAATCACGTAAAACATGCCAAACAATGCAGAGAAAAGATGTGTGCACAGGTATAAAAAAAACACAGGTAACAGTACAACCTAAAAGAAATGACTAAAATTTCTTGGCAGAACTTTTCGTTCGATCCTCCAAACTATCTTCCCAATGGTTTCTCACTCTCATACATCAATACGTTAATATCCCAACAAGCCTACTATAGCATCTAGACAAAATAATATTGCTCTCAGTACAAAACAAATGCCCAACACTACTGATTCAATAACCATACCCTACATTATCCATCTTAGTACTATTACTTTAGAGTCTCCTAGCCTAGAGTCATTGACATTTACTACCCTCGTCGTAGTTTGCTTCACCACCCAAACTAAATAAGATCATACAATGCATAAGCACAGATTCCCACCTCAGCAGTAAACTCAAACACTACTTGATCATGCGAAACTCTAATCATGGAGAGATTAAATTGGTACACTTACTATGTAATATATATACATACCTTTCTTTTTGGTAAAGTTGTTTGTAAAACCACTAAAGAAAACAAACTAACTCTTCTCTGTACAACACCTTAATCCCTTAAAGAAAATGAGCCCCACGCTAACAAACATTAAAAAATGAACAACAAAATAAAATAATTTCCAACCTACGTTCCATAGGAAAAGGTTGAAATAAATTAATAAAACAAATAAATAATTTATTCATTAAGCAAGATTAAAACACAACCACTAGACCAACAAGTAACTATCACCAACAGGACTACAAGACCTTTATGAAAACACGTTTTTACATTAATATTAAAGATAAGTCAAGACACAATATTATATTTATGCTCTAAAATTTTGAGTGTTGAAGTTGGAACATATTTTAGAGTGTTGAAGTTGGAACATATTTTAACTATAGGAGTGATGGTAGGGCAATGGGTATTTATGTGGCAATAGTTGTTATCAGTGTTGGGTATTGAGGGTACCAATAACCTAACATGTTACAACGGTAAAATTATTTTATTATTTAATTACTTTTTAAATTTTTTATAAAATAATTATAATTGTATAATATTTATGACATTTTTGTTCTTTAAATAAAATAAAATTATAAAGTAGTTTTCATTTAATATTGTAAAAATGTGTAACAGTAGGGTCTAGGTTTTGTAGTTGGTTATCACGCCAGTCTCACACACTAGAGATCCCCATTTGGAACCTGGGTTCAGAGAATCTAATTAATTTAACTTATACAGTTTGGAATGAAGAAGAAAATTTAGAGTGTTGAAGTTGGAACATATTTTAGAGTGTTGAAGTTGGAACATATTTTAACTATAGGAGTGGTGGTAGGGACAATGGGTATTGATGTGGCAACAGTGGTTATCAGTGATGGGTATTGAGAGTACCAATAACCAAGAAAGAACATTAAGATCATATCAAGCTCTCTAATGATAATCACCATAACATTGAACATTAAGATCATACAAAGATAAAAGCACAAATTATTAAG